TGAGGATGAATAAAACCACGTGGTTGACGCATATAAACTTCTTCGGTTAGAGAACCATGCAAAAATGCATTTTTAACATCAAGTTGTCTAATACCCCATCCAAAAGATACAGCAAGAGTAAGTACAATGCGAACAGTAGTAGGTTTAATAACAGGACCAAAAGTTTCTGAGAAATCAATGCCAGCCTGTTGATTAAATCCCTGAGCAACTAATCTAGCTTTATGCCGCTCAACCGACCCATCAGAATGATATTTTGTCTTATAAATCCACTTACAACCAACAATATTCTTAGAATTGTCAAATGGCACCAAATCCCAAGTATTGTTATGAATGAGTGCATTAAATTCATCAGCCATGGCCTCTCGCCATATTAAATGTTTATTAGCCTCAGTAAAACAAGTTGGATCAGTCTGATTAACAACCGTACTCAAGTTAAAAATAGTTTTTGGTTTAAAAATGCCTGCTTTAGCACGAGTTTGCATAGGATGCACATTAAGAACGCGAGAAGGAGCAGTGTGAGCTATCGGCAATGGAGAGGATTCGGACTGACCATGCGAGGAAGAATCGGTGGGAGGGCTGGCTGGAGTGTGTGGAGTGATCGGTGGGCTACTGGTGGGTGAAGAACTCGAGCTCGGACTGCCTGGAGAATCCGAGAACTGGACGCCCGTCGAAGGTGAAGTGGGAGATGAACGCAGACTATTTGGAGAGAAAGCTAAACGGGGGGAAGAAGACGGATGGGAAGTCAGATTAGGAGAAGGTGATGGAGTGGTTTGGGCAGGGGGTAAAGCAGTAAGGAACATAGTAGAATTAGTGGAAGAAGGAACAGTGGGAATGGTTTTGGTTAAGGCTTTAAAAGGGTATTGATCTTCATGGAACCTAACATGACGACTGATATAGACACGACCAGTAAGAGGATCATAACAACGATAGCCCTTATAGCCAGATGCATAGCCGAGAAACACACACTGGACAGATCTGGGAGATAATTTATTAGAAGATGTGGCAGGAAAATTTGGGTAACAAGCAGTACCAAATACTCGCATAAACGAATAGTCTGGTACACGATGAAATAATATTTGATATGGAGAAAAGCCATGTAATGTAGGAGTAGGTAATCTGTTAATGATATATGCAGCAGTAAAAAGTGCATCAACCCAAAACTGACTCGGAACAGAGGCCTCAAGAAGCATAGTACGAGTGAGTTCCAGGAGATGACGATGTTTGCGCTCAGCTACCCCATTTTGTTGAGGTGTGTCAGGACATGATTTTTGAAAATAAATGCCATTATCCATAAAAAATTACTGCATATTTCGATTAACAAATTCACCCCCTCCATCACTTTGAAAAATTTTAATCTTCTGATTAAAAAGATTTTCAACCAAAAGTTTAAAATTTTTAAAGTGCATAAAAACGTCGCTCTTAAAGTGCATGGGATAAATCCAAGTAAAGCGTGAGTAATCATCAATAAAACAGACATAATACTTGAAACCCAAATTAGAACACACCGGAGATTGCCAAACATCAGAATGAATTATCTGTAGAGGAGAAGAACAATTATGACTAGCATCCATAAAGGGCAAACGTTGAGATTTTCCTAGACGACAAGCCACACAGTCATGGGTAAATGGAGTGTGATTACATAAAAATTGTTTTCGTTTAAGGAACTGCAAAATAGAATCACTACAATGACCTAGTCTACGGTGCCACACAGGGCCAGACGCTAAAACTGACGCTAAAACTATAGGTGATGAAGCGGGTAGATGTAGAGGATAAAGTGGTCCATTACTGGTAGCTCGTAGAAGCACTGCCCCCGTTGCTCGATCCTTAATCAAAAAGGAGGATTTATCAAAAATAACAGTACAGTTGTTATCAGCACATAAACGTTTAATAGAAATTAAATTATATTTTAGCTGAGGCACATGATAAACAGATCGTAAGGTAAGAGGACGACCAGAAGATGGTAACGCAACATCACCAATATGACAAATGGGTAAATGGGCACCATTAGCAACACTGACAGAATTAAAGCCATTGTAAGTAGATTTATTATAGAGAATACCTTCTGTGGCAGTCATATGAGCAGACGCTCCTGAATCAGGATACCACAAAGCTGAATTAGATTCCCCTGGAGTTGTCAACAAAGCTGGAGCAGACGGCTGAATAAAACGAGAAGGACAAGTGATGGCAGAGTGGCCTGCAGAAAAACAAATTTGACACACAATAGGATGGGGAACAGACCCAAGAACTCCTCCATCTGATGACGAGCCTACAGAAACCAAGTTAGTAGCACAAACAGGTGAAGCATACATATTTAAAGTGGACACAGTAGAATTACGAATGACAGTACCTGAGTAAGGCGCACCCCCTGTGGGCGACTGAAATCCCGCCGGAACAGGTGCTCCACCAGAACCGGACGCAAACACCTGAGTGTTGGGCTGAGGAGGATACCAAACGGGTTGCTGACCATATGGCTGATGCTGCTGTCCACGGCCGCGTCCCCTGCCACCTCGACCGCGGCCTCCACGTCCTCTGCCGCCGCGTCCACGCTGCGCCTGCGGCTGCTGTCCGTAACCTGCCCGATGTGGATTACCGCCTGGCTGTTGACCAACCTGCTGAGCAGGAGGCAGTCCAGGCTGCTGAGCATGCGCACCAAAAGCTTGGTGCATGGAGGTCTCTTGGGAGCGTAGATAGAGAACTCTCTGTTCTTGTTCCAAAAGATGAGTGCGCAAGGTTTCAAATGGAAAATTTTGTGGGAACAAGGAAACCGTTGTGAACAGAGATTCGTACTCCGGACCCAAGCCCATAATAATGGTTTTCAGCAGTTCACGCGGAGAGACCGGACAGTTGATATTATTAAGATCATCAGCTAAAATTTTAATTTCACGCAAATAGCTATCCATAGACTGGTCGGGTTTCTTTTTAGCTTGACCCAATAGGCGCTTTAATTCCATAGACCTTGCTAAACTGGCAGACATAAAATAAGACTCTAACCGTTCCCAAATTTCAGAGGAGTGTTTTAAATCCCGAACATCAATTAACACATCTCGTGATAAGGTAGCAAACAACCAAGAACGAATCGTTTGGTCAATTCGTATCCAAGTAGAGAAATCGGGATTGGGAAATTGGCGATTGAGAAAGTCTGTGGAATAAGCAGAGGGTACCTGAATTGAGCCATCAACCATGCCTAGAAGACCTTGCGAGACCAGGAATGACTCAAACTGAGTACGCCAAGTAGTATAATCTTCCACAGCTTGAAGCTTGGTGGTAACAATATTGGTGACGTTGGTGGCCACGTGAGATATTGTTTGAGCAAGGGTTGCCAACGTGGAGTCATTATGACTGTCTGCTGCAGGTCGAAGGTGCGGCACTGATGAAGATATCCCTGGCGAGCGTACAAACGTCGGTCCAGCAAACAAGCCAGCCGAGAGGGGAGGTGGCTCAAGGCTGACCGACTGCACAGGAGAAGCACCAGACCACGGAAACATTGGAGGAAGGTTCTGAAATAGAGAGTACGTGCCCGAGGTATGGCTCGGCGATGTAATCCGAGAGGAAAAAGATACACCAGACGCCATGGATGTAGAAATTGCTGGCTGCGATCCGCTGAAAGCTGGAGCGCCAGAAAAAACGTGTGCAGGAGAGGAGCTAACCACCGATGTCACAGCCGAAGAAGAAGTAGAGATTGCAGCGGAAGAAGACATAACCATGGAGGTGATTGTCGATGAAGGCTCACTCGAAGAAGACATGGTGGTCTGCGGCGTTCGTAAGGAGAGATACGAACGAAGTGGTCTGCGGCGTTCGTAAGGAGAGATACGAACGAAAAAAAATAGGTTTTCAGAGTGCTCTTGATACCATGTGAAACAATGGAACAGGCTACTCTCAAAGGAGCCTGGCAGATATATTTATACTAGAGAATGTAAATGTAAAAATACAGAAATATCCCTATTTAATTATTCTATTAAAAAAGGGCTCGAACCGGGCCGGTTCGCCTTTTTCATGACCCAGACCCGGAACCGCTTAACCCCTCGGGCCTATACCCGAACCGGAACCGGAACCGGTTTCCCGAGCCTAGCCGGTTCTAATCAGTACCGGGCCGGGGCGGTTCGGAACGGGCGGCTCGAACCGAGTCCATCCCTACCGTTAAATGCCCAGAAAGACGCGGGGAGTTTAAGGAACTCTGGAAAGCTGGAACATAAGGTAAGGGTATTTTTGTCATCCTTCTGTACTTTCAATTCTACATCGTACTCCGTACTTTAATTCTATTTTCTTTAGAAATTAAAAACAAAGTTCTTGCCCTTCATCTCAAGAAATTAAAGCATGCGGCCACATGTTAACTTGATTTAGTCAATTCATAACTGAGTTATATATATCATCTGGATGGTAGCATAATAATTTTTATTACCAATTAATATTGTGTTCATGGGCTTATTAACTAGGGGTTAAATCAGGCCATCATCCACCCCGAATTTCAACTTTATTAAAATTATTTGGTTAAAAAATTGTGTAATTTTTTGTTTTTAAATATTTATTACGTATTATGGAGTATATATTTGCACATTATTAATTAATACTTCCTTCATCCCAAAATAACTTTCCTACTTTTCTTTTCGATCCGTTCCAAAATAATTGTCTCCTCTACTCTTTTGACAATAATATGTGACTCATATCAATTCACATTTTTTCCACTCAAATTTCAACCACACCTTTTACCTTTTCAACCACTTTCTTAAAACTTGTGTTAAAGCAAACAAGATGTTTATTTTGGACGGAGGGAGTACCTGTTTTTCATATAGTTTATGGAATTCAATTCAATTTGTTTGAACAAATTAGTTTGTGTATCATATTACTTGATGAACGTATTTTAGTATTCGTATAAATCTTAAGAGTTTAATTACTACTCGTTTTGGTATAGATGAAAGCTTTGTTCAATGTAAACATGTGTATCTGTTAGTGGTGTTTAATGGCCGAGAGAAGTAGCATAATTCTGAGTATTCTTTAAGACTAATAAATAAGATATGGTTAAAATAGATGATCGGGATAGTGTACACATCAAAGTGTTACAACTATTACAGCACAAAGGACAATGTGTTATACACTTATACGAAGTATATTACTGGCAAATATAATTACTATTACTAATATATTACTCCACAGCGATATGATAGATACGGAGTAATATATTATCTGATGTCAGCACACCAACCACAGCGCAGTTCAAACTGTACAAGATATAGAAGCTCAAAAAATTGCAGTAAATAATCAATTCTGGTTCTACTTTGATTCCTGGAAATCCACACGCTTTGATTCCACCAGATCAACAAGTTTGAATCAACTTTAAATGTTAGAGTTTTCCTTCTCCATTGATATTATGCAAGCCAGTCTGTCATACACCTATGGCATTTCGAACTTCTTTATACAGTTTTCATGTAAAGTAACTAAAGCTGATATCAGAATTTCAACACAAAAGTATATGGATAAGGTACCTCAGAAAGCTGAGTTTGATCTTCTTGTTTCTTTATTGACAAAGGATCGTACCTGGACAACATATGAAACAAGGTCTTTAAGTTTGTTTGGGCAGCTAGGTCCATTGTATCATTGATTACCTTTCCCTTACCATTCCCTTGGGATCCCTGCTTCATCTCTAGCCAAATAGTTAAATGGTCCTTTCAACTCCACATCATACTCCTTCAGCAAGTCTGCGACGAAGATTGAATTCATCCGTAAAAAAACTTACTTTCTCTCTCAGAAATAGTGAATGAATACATTTGCTAAAAATATGAATAAGCACTCAATTGGGTCCAAATTTAATAATCAAGGACCAAATTGAATCCAAAAGAAAAACAAAGACCGTATTGAGTAATCATGTACAGATGAGAGACAAATTTCGGTATTAACTCTAGGGCCAGACTAGAATGGACCTTTGAAAGCAGATGAAGGTGGGCGATTCATTTTCTGACAAACAGCAAGAAACCAGTATACACCAACTGCCACATGTGCTACTTCTTCAGTCGCTATTCTATCCACAATGTCGGCGGTCCTATGGTCTCCAAAGCCAATCAATTTTTGCACCAGTTGAGGACCAGCATCTAGACCTCTAGCTTCCTACGAAATTAAGAAGATGAAACGATACTAAGATAGCTATGGTAGGGCGAGGGAGACAGAAAGATTTCATTGTTCTCTGGTGATGGCCATAATATTTGGAAGCTGAAAGATATTTCTATCTTATTGTGCTCGCCATGACTTCACTTTTCTTTAAAAGCTAAAATCTTTTAGCATGAAATCAGATAACGCCAGTCAGGGTACAAGTTTTTCTGTAAACTTGTAATAAATATAATTACTTGATGAATTGATGAATCGGGTTAAAAAATGGATCAGAGTAAAAAACATCCCCCCCCCCCCCCCAAAAAAAAACATAAGCTTGTTATAGAATTCAGCTCATGCTGCTTCAAACACAAGTTACTTTTTAAAATCAGCTTATAATCTAGATAATAGGTTGTTCCAAACACGCTTTAAAAGGGTTTGCTTAGTTAAATTAGATCACTTATAATTTATAAATGCGTCGAGATTATAAGTATGGAGTATAAATTATTAATTACGAAACAAAAATTGGGCACATGATGATATTGTAAAATTCTCAAAATAGGAGCAAAAACAATGTAAAAATCCAAAAAAATGAGCTTTATGTTTATCCCTCAAGAGGAGTAACTTGAAATTCTACTGCCATATTTTGGCATTATCGGACTTTAAATATGACAATATACTGCCATAATTGGCAGTATTTTGCAAGCATGACAGTAATTACTCCTATTTAGGGAATAAAATCATAGTACTCCTATTTTAGAAATCCAAAACGTTTTTACACATACTTAGGGAAATTTATTTATCCTTAATGTCAGTGTGTTCTTATATGCACCTGGACTAGCGGAATAGCTGCCAAGCGTGCAGCAACATCACTGAGTTTTTTTTTCCTGATCTTTTGAAAGCTTAGATCTTCAATTTAATGCACTATATTCATTCTTATCCTTCACCTAAGCAACACTTCTTATTTTTTATTTACCTTGTTTTAAAAACTGGGAAGACAATCTTTTGCATATATATGTTCTACAGAGAGATCAAATAAGCATGATTGCGATGCAGTGGAGGCATTGAATGTGCTTGATCAAGAAGTGGAAGAAATTGAGCAAGAAGCTGAAGTAGCTGAACAAGATGTGGAGGAGACATGTGTATGGGTTGAAGGGGATGGACTTCATATTCCACATGGTCCTGTCAAACCCAAATCATATAAGGTCTCTCCTCTCTATTTCTGATATATACGTGCACGTGCATGCACATTGAACATGTATCATGCAAGTGCTTTCAAAGTGTTTACTCCATATTTTCCCCAGTTATGAAAGACATATTTTCGGGTTTTCCAGATTATTTGGCTGAAATTACTAAATACTGCAACTTTTTCGAAGTAAAATTCTGCGCACCAAATAAGTTAAGATGGAACCATTATTGGGTTGAAATGTGACTAAATTTGCTAATTTTTCGAAACATCTTCAGCCTAACAAGTTAAAAAGATACTCATTCTGTTTATTTTGTTGATAATCAGAATGAGACAGATCTGGACTTGTTTGGCAGAACTACAGTTAACCTTAACTGTGCTTATTTCAACTTCAGAGGGCTAGTGTTAACTAATGTGCCATTTTGCCTTCAGAAAATAATCCGTGAAGCATTTTCGTCCAAAGCAAGATTAACAATGAAGGAGTATCAGAAGCTGGCAGCAAAATATGAAGAGCAGGCTGCAGAAAGAGTAGATGGTGGAGAAAATGCCCCACCTGTGTTAGTGAGAATGAAGGCAAGCGCTGATGTTTTACCATCAGCTAGCAGTGACTTCCCTGACTCTGAGTGGGAGCTTCTCTAGTTGCAATGCTTGCCTGCAGCTAGTAATAAAATTTTTCATTTCATAGATCAATGTATATATATACCTTATATATATTTATATTTGTAGAGAATGTACAATAGCGAAGCAGTTTAAAGAGTTTTATATGATGATGATTATTAGTATATTCTCCTCTCCATACTAAAAATTAATAGAGTAATTAATACTTTAATTAGGTTTCCATATTTTGTATGTTTCCTTATGTACTCAGAACACCTTTTATTATATATATGACATCTAGGGCTACCACTTTGGTAAGCCTCCCAATTATTCTCACATGGTATCGAGAGCTCTAGGTTTTAGCCAGTTATAATATTTTTTTTCGGATCGATGGCTTCCTCCCCTCACGCCACATCTGCCGCCGCCGTCCCTACCATCACTGTCGCTGGACAACCGCCGGTGATGGAAACCCTAAACATTAGCGCGGACGACTCCGAACCGCCGTTCACCTCCGGCGTCATGGCGCCGTCCTTCACCGACGAGCAGCCCTTTTCGGCGATCACCTCTACTGGCTTTTCCTCCACGTGGGTGCCTCCAATTTTTACGTGGACTCCGACAGTCCCGACGCTTCATCCGCTGCAGCCCCACGACTCACATATTGCTGAATCCAGCGTTGCCGGAAATCATCGATTTGCTGGCACGACTCTCTCGGGCCAACCGGGGCTGGTTTTACCACCTCCTACCGCCGGACCGGTTGGACATCGGCCTCCAACAGTGACTTTACCTACGTCATATGCTGCCCTGGCACAAGGTATGGGTTTTGGTGCTTCTTCTATCACTACCATCGTTACCATTAAATTGTTGAAGGTAGAAGATTATTTACCATGGCGTACTCAATTTGAGTCCTTTTTGGTCTCAAACGGACTCTTGGGTATACTTGATGGTTCTCTTCCGGCTCCGCCTCCTTATTCTTATGATTTATATCAAAACCAAAATATTAATCCGGAGTACTATCACTGGCTGAAATTAGACCAGACTGTTCGTTCATGGTTGTTTGCTACGTTGTCTAGGGAAATTCTAATGGAGGTTCACTCCTTGAAAAATTCGAATGCCATATGGCAGAGATTAGAATCCCGATTTATGGCAGCCAGTCTGGCCAGATCCATGGAATTAAAACAAATGTTAACCCATACCAAGAAAAAGCCAAATCAAACCATGGATCAATATTTAGGTGAACTTCGAACAATTGCTGAGAATTTAGCCTCCATTAATTCGCCAGTCCCCACTCATGACCTTTTGGAATATGCTCTTATGGGATTGGGTCCGGGTTATGAATCACTTGTGGGGCCACTCACTTTGTTTCCTGAAGGCCTCACGTTTGATTCTTTATGCACCAAACTTGTTCAACAAGAGGCCCGTCTTCAGTTACAACAACGGTTGGAATCCACCGTTGGATCTCCTGCCTTTGCCGCTTCTTCCTCATCCGGAGGTGCTGCAGCCGCGACATCCAGCAACGGACAGCAGCAGTTTCAGCGCGGTGGGCGTGGGGGTCGCGGAGGACGAGGTCAGCGCAGCCGTGGCCGAGGCCGCGGCAGAGGGCAACATTACCAGGCTGCCGGACAGCAGCCGTATGCGGGTCAGCCGCAATTTGCTGGGCAGCCGCAGCATGGAGGCCAGCAGCAGCAGTTTCAGGGAGCCGGGCAGCAATCTGGGGCGTACGGGCGCGGTCCTATGCAGCCACATACGATGGGTTCACCGGGTACAGTTTTATGTAATTCAGTCCGGTCATTGTCTTATACTCCTGCTCTATCTACTTTTTGTACTAACATTGGTTCTGCAGGATTTCCATCGGTTGAGAATAGTTTTGGTTCCGTTCCTCCTCCTGTTGTCTGTCAAATATGTCATTCCCCAGGTCATTCTGCTGTTGCTTGTCCGTCTCGTTTTGTTCAACCACAGGCTCCTGCTTTGGCTGTTTCCACAGGGGAATCCACTCCTGCTGTTTGGTACCCTGACTCGGGTGCCTCTGCTCATATGACTGCTAATGAAGGTATTTTAGAAAATAAATCCTTTTATTCTGGACCACTAAAAGTGACGGTTGCGAATGGTTCTAATTTACCTGTTATGACTATTGGTGATTTGCATTTATCTACTCTGCCTAGGCCACTTCATTTAAAATCTGTTTATCATGTGCCTCATCTTAAATATAATTTATTATCTATTCAACGATTATGTGCCGATAATAACTGTTTTGTTATTTTTGATAAAAATTCTGTTTATATCAAGGACACAATTTCGGGGAAGGTGCTTCTTCAAGCTTCTAATACTGGCGGTGTTTACCCTATTTCCTTACCCTCTTCACCAGTTGCTCTCAGCTCTCATGTTGCTCCTGGACCAATATGGCATCGTCGTTTGGGACATTGTGGCAGTCGTATTTTAGATAGACTTAAAAAGTCTGGCACTATTCTTAGTACGTCGAATTTTTCTCATGATTGTATTTCTTGTCGTTTAGGAAAATCACACCGGTTACCTTTTCAAGAAGTATGGCATAGATCTACTACTCCGTTATATTTAATTCATTCTGATGTTTGGCAATCTCCTGTTCTTTCACCAAATGGTTTTAAATATTATGTTATTTTTATTGATGACTTCTCTCGTTTTACTTGGTTGTACCCAATGCGTAATAAAAGTGAGGTAGTTCGGCATTTTCAAATTTTTAAAACAATGGTTGAAAATTTACTTGACTCCAAAATTAAAATTTTTCAAAGTGATGGAGGGGGTGAGTTTGATAATTATGGTATGCGGGATATTTTTCTCCAAAATGGTATTTTGTTTCGCAAATCCTGTCCTGACACGCCTGAACAGAATGGGGTTGCTGAACGTAAACATCGACATCTACTTGAATTAGCTCGCACTATGCTGTTTGAAGCAAAAATGCCAGCTACATTTTGGGTAGATGCTGTGTTTACCGCTACCTATATTATTAATCGTCTCCCTACTCCCAACTTAAATGGTGCTACTCCTTTTGAAAAATTATTTCACCATTCGCCTGATTACTCTTTTATGCGCGTATTTGGGTGTGCTTGTTTTCCAAATTTCAATGCCACTTCATCAAACAAATTATCTCCTAGATCCACGTTATGTGTATTTCTAGGCTATGCTCCTGAATATAAGGGTTATCGGTGTCTTGATCCTCTTACTGGCAAGATTTACGTCAACCGGAATGTTCGTTTTCATGAAAATCATTTTCCATATTCTGATTTAATCTCTTCCTTGGAAAAATCGACAATGCCACTTTGTCCTTCGATTCATACTGTTCAGCTGCATGCGACCTGTCCACCATCTCCGTCTTCTACGTCGCTGCCTTCCCACGGACCAGCTGTCAACCTTCGGCTGATCACCTCACCACCCGACCAACACCATCAATCCGCCTCCACACCGCACCACTTATCCTCCCATCAGCCTGCATCGACCACCACACCCGCTCCATCGACCCCCACCTCATCCTCGACGCCATCCAGCCCATCCTCGGTCTCGGCCGAGGATACCTCTGCCTCACCGCCATCATCCTCACCGCCGGTTCCTTCTCCGGTAAATTGTCACCCAATGCAAACACGGGCTAAATCTGGGATTTTTAAACCGAAAAATATTTTTAATCTCAAAACAGATATTTCGGCATGTGATCCTTCATGTTTTTCGGTTGCTAATAAAGATCCTAAATGGCGTGGTGCTATGGCAGAAGAGTTTAATGCACTTATTGATAATCATACTTGGGATTTGGTTCCATTTAATCCTCATAAAAATGTGGTTGGGTCTAAATGGATTTATAAAACTAAATTTAATTCTGATGGGTCTGTTGAGCGGTATAAGGCGCGTCTTGTGGCTCAGGGGTTTACTCAACAAGCAGGTGTAGATTTTTCTGAGACGTTTAGTCCTGTGGTTAAGCCCACTACTGTTCGTATAGTCTTGTCACTAGCTGTTTCGTTTCATTGGGCTATTCGACAGTTAGATGTTAAAAATGCATTTTTACATGGTAATCTGACTGAAGAAGTCTATATGCGTCAGCCTCCTGGATTTATTCATCCCCAATTTCCCCATCATGTTTGTCGTCTCAGGAAAGCTATTTATGGTCTTAAACAGGCTCCACGGGCCTGGTTTTATCGATTCAGTAGTTTTTTGCTCACTCATGGGTTTGTTTGCAGCAAGTCTGATAATTCCTTGTTTATTTATCGACATGGATCCTCCATTATTTATCTTCTTTTGTATGTGGATGATATCATTGTCACTGGTAATTCTCCCTCCTTTATTTCCACATTTATTTCTTGTCTTGGCCGCTGCTTTGCTATGAAGGATTTGGGGGATTTACATTTTTTCCTAGGTGTTCAGGCTGTTCGAGTACCATCTGGTCTGTTTTTGTCCCAACAAAAATATGTATCTGATCTTCTCACTCGTTTCCATCTTCACACTCTCAAGCCTGTTCGTACTCCTCTACCGACGCGGACTAAACTCTCTCTCTCTGATGGCGATCTTCTGGCAGATCCTACTGAGTATAGAAGTATGGTAGGTGCTTTACAGTATTTAACCATGACTAGACCTGATATTACATTTGCTGTTCACTTGGTTTCCCAATTTATGCATGCGCCTCGTACATCACATATTTTGGCAGTTAAGCGTATTTTCAGGTATCTTCAAGGGACCATTAGTCATGGCTTATTTCTTCAGCCGAGCACGGCTACCCCTACTATACGGGCATATTCAGATGCTGATTGGGCGGGATGTCCTGATAGTAGCAGGTCTACCTCTGGCTTTGCTATTTTTCTAGGGCCGAATCTGATATCTTGGAAGTCCAAGAAGCAACCGACTGTCTCTCGATCTTCCACTGAGGCGGAATACAGGGCAATTGCATACACTGTTCAGGATACTTTACATATTCGTTCCATATTATTTGAGCTGGGATTTCCTATTCGAGAGTCAGTACAACTGTTATGTGATAATGTTTCTGCCTCTTATTTGTCCACAAATCCTATTCAGCATGCCCGCAGCAAGCATATCAGCATTGACTATCATTTTGTTCGAGAGAGAGTGTCTCATGGCGATCTGTCTGTTCGCTATGTTCCTACACAGTTTCAGCTTGCAGATATATTTACTAAGTGTTTATCTCCGCAGCGATTTATATTTCTTAGAGACAATCTGCGCATTGTTTCCCCTGCACAGCTTGAGGGGGTGTAATAGAGTAATTAATACTTTAATTAGGTTTCCATATTTTGTATGTTTCCTTATGTACTCAGAACACCTTTTATTATATATATGACATCTAGGGCTACCACTTTGGTAAGCCTCCCAATTATTCTCACAAAAATGAGCTCTCTTCTTCCTTCTTAATGAAGCAGGCAGGCAAAAAAGTTGCTCTTATATGCGACATAAACATAACTGGACTAAATAAGATTTTAAATTTAATTCTGGTATAGAATTCAACGGATTAATTTTTCGTTGCATTATTAGTTCCTTTTTTTAAAATTTTCAACACAAACAATTTGTGGTTGGGTAATTGGGTAAATGTCAATTTTGGATTGAAATTTTATGTTCTTGCACAGTACACGCACGGTGTCCGCACGGAACGTGCACGGTACTTATCTTGCCATCGGGTTTTCTTCTTCAAACAATGATTTCGTAAAAGTTCTAGTAAAGACTAAAGAACTCTTAAATTACAATGTACAACACGTTTTTGTGTAAACATATGATTGTTGGACATTTTATAGTCAAAGTGAATTATCAATAAATTTGAGAGTTTCTGCTTTTCTAAAACTTCAGGAGTTATTTGGTAACGCCTAAATCGATTAAATCAGTTGACATTTTAATTGCAATAGTTGAAGATGTTGATTTATGAAACAATATATTAAAATATTAGTATATTTCATTAATTTGACAAAGAAAAAGTTAAATGCAAGGAAAATGTTAATATATTTCATTAAAATATACTACGTATTGCATTAATTTGGCAAAGAAAAAGTTAAAATAGTAGTAACATCAGTCAATTTTGGAAGTAAAATAATTTTATCATACTTATTTTGATTATGATAATACAAGAAAAATAATTTTAATCACAGTTATTTTGATAGTTGGGTAAAATACTTGATTGATAAAATGGATAAGTTGAAAATAGTAACTATCAAACATTCTCTAAAAATAGTGTAAAATTGTCAAGTACTACCTCTCTTGTGATTTAAACTTTTTATTATTGGAAATCATACGATTATTTATACAATAACTAAATAATGTAATTTATATATATTTTGATAAATGGTATTGATGATTAAGCTATCGTACAAGAATGTTAATTATATTCTAAAGTAGAAATAAGAAGTTTTAGTTGATACGTCCAAAAGGAAAAGAAAAACTTAAATTAGAAATGCAATGGAGCGAGTATGATGGGGAAGCGTTTGACGTGCTATACTGTTGTGGTTTTAAAAATGTGGAGGTTACGTTGCTTTATTTGAATTTTAATGTGGAAGGCTCTTACAATCTTCTTTTTTTTTGAAAACGCTCTTACAATCTAAATAGAATTTAAAAAAGATGCACTAACAAAAAACAAAATTCATTCGCACAAAAGGTCAATTCATACATCCACGGTTTGTTTGTGCGTAAAAATATTTTGCCCATTTTGAACTAATGAAGTCTTGAGAGAAGGAAATAAATTAAAGAACTTTAAAGTGCTAATTACATTGCCCAAAAAGTATCATATCACAGTTACGTACATTCCTAATGGTAAACTTATAAACTAATACGGATCGAGTAGTACTCTTCTCTTAGGACTCGTTTGTTATGGTGTAAAGTAAACACTTTGCGTGTAAAGTGGAGGGAAGTATTCATTTGACACCGTTTGTTTTAATTATTTGATGCAAACTGTAGGTCACTTTTTTTAAAACACTTTACACTGTACCATGTAAAATAGTTTACGTGGGGGGAGGGTAGTAAACTAGTTTACATTCATATATTAATAGTAATTTAATACCGAGTATTATCATATTTAACGATTTAATACGGAGTAAACTCCTACGATCTAGACCTACGCTAGAAAATAGGAGAGTGGCGGCAAAAACCAAAAACGTTGGCGGCAATAAATCAATTTCATCTCCTATATAAACACACAAAATCGTAAACCATATCTCAGCATATCTCCATGATTGCACTACCCTGCTCTCCGTATTGCAAGAGGTACGCTTCTGCTTCTTTTTTTAGTTAATTGACATGTTTATTTGATATGTTTTTGTGTGCTTAGAATTGAATTTGTGGAATTTATTTTTGAAAGAGATTATCAAATTATGTTTCAACTTTATTTGAGAAAGTGGATTGAAGAGTAAGAGCTTCTGGTTTATTGTATATTATCTATCCGTAGTGTATATGTGTGTATATATAATATAATACAGAGTTTTTTAGTTTTCGGTACACCGTATTTATCACTTATTTTGCTACTGTTTAGAGCTTAATGCGTATGTCTCATCAATCTAGTAGGATTTTAACTTTACTCTGCTAAATGCGTTCATATTGATCTGGCTCATAGATCTGGTCGGGTTTTAGCTTTACTCTGCTAAATACGTTCATATTGATCTGGCTTATTGTATACGGAGTATTATATATACGTAATATATACACACACATATACATAAAAGTTAAACGGGTATATATATAGGAAAAGTAATACTCCGTATAAGTACTAATTACTGCTCTTTTTCTAGCATCACATTTTTGCAAGATTTAGTTTTAGTTGATGATTATCCTTTTCTCCTATCCTTGTATATAGTAGTTCGGAAGTTGTGATTTGTGAACCACTTTTGTATATCAACAAGCTCTAAAAGATACGTAGTAAATAAATAAATGTATTACACTCTAATTACATGGAGTTGCATTTTTTGTTAGTGTTGATCATGGACAGCTCATTGCAAGACGAAATCACAATGTGCATGGCTGCTTATGTTGTCGCTTTAAACTTTAGAAACTTTCTTTTCATTGTACTTGCCATGTTAGAATATTATAGAGACACTTTTATTTTACGGAAGAGGAAGAGATGTCAAAAAGGAAGTGCTCATGAGAGATATGAAATTAGATGTGTCAATTTTAGAAGTATGATTTGGGATGACGATATAGAATGCGTAGATAGCATTAGAATGGATAGAAGGGCATTTTACGTGCTGTGTAACATGGTTGAAACCATTGGCATGTTGCCAGCGACAAAGAATTCATCTGTTGAGGAAATGCTTGCTTCATTCCTCTATATACTCGCTCATCATACTAAAGTTAGAGTGGTCAAAAGAGAATTTGTGCGTAGCGGTGAAACAATAAGCCGAAACTTTAATAAAGTCTTGCTTGCTATCTTGAGATTGCACGAAGTTTTGCTTAAGAAGCCTGAACCGGTGCCTCAAAATTGTAAAGAACATCCTTGGAAATGGTTTAAGGTAATGATTTCTACATTATTTACCTGAAAAATACTACAAAATAAATACAGAGTAATGTTTAAATTAGTAAACTACTAACAAAGCACTGATATTTGTTTTAAATATGTAGATTTGTTTGGAAGCGCTAGATGGAACTTATATTCAGATAAATGTCCCTGAGCAAGAAAAGCCAAAATGTAGGACAAGGAAAGGGGATTTGGCCACAAATGTACTCGGAGTTTGTTCTCGGGATTTACATTTTATCTACATATTGCCTGGGTGGGAAGGTTCTGCTGCGAATGCAAGGGTATTAAGAAGTGCAATTTCAAGGCCAAATGGCTTTGTAGTTCCTCAAGGTACTAATGGTAGTGGGGGGAATCAACAGGGCTTTCAATATTATATATTTTAAAATTCACATAAATTTTGACTCATAAGTTCTAACCATAACATATTAATCTAGGTTGTTACTATATATGTGATGCCGGATACAGCAACGCCCCCTTAGTGTATAAATTAAATGAACTAGTGAAACGTTTCACTAGTTCACAAATCTTCTTTTGATTAGTAGAGTACAGTAGGTTTAAGTTGAGAGGCATAGTCAGGAAAGGGAACTAGGGTGGACCAGATAAAAATTCATTCATATAATTTTTTTAATAATTTTTCATACACATTTTTTACATGTAAAATTTTAGACTTCAATGAGTCGGGACATAGGTTAAGTTTTTATCTATCTCCGAGACTGTGCTAATTGATAATATGGTAAAAAAAGGTCAAACTTTCAATGGTATTGAAAACTCACTCACTCTTCTCCATCTTCCACAATCTCACTTTTGTTAGTTGCATAGTTAACACAAATACGAGTATATATGTTCTTCTCTAGGCTTCCATTCTTGTAATACACATATAGCTAGTTACCATTAACACATCAATGTAAGTAATCATGGCGCAGGCACGATAAATGTTATAGTGATCGAGTCAATAGACATGATTTTTTGTATGAATGTTTGCATAAAAGTTTTACCCACGACAAGTAGGTTTTTATCAAATTTGAGGTGTGCCAGGCATGCTACCCCCCCCCCCCCCCCCCCCCCCAACAACACCCAGGAATGTAATTAAGTCCATTGTCCTCTAGAGCATACATCCTTCAATTACAATAAGAATGTGTTCTTCATAAATTTACCTCTAAGAGCCACCTTATTAATGATTTAGATAGACTCATTTGCTTCCTTGCTCTATCTTTTAATAGATTCACCATTCACTAGCCACTAGGGATTCCATGTGTCCTTCGCACACTACGTTAAACATACTTCACAAGATCTATCCCATAAATTCAAACCATCATACCTAATTTGAAAAATGAAATACTTAAAATGGCAAAACATACCTTAGCTTGGAATTTAATAAGGCATAGTAGCAACAACGTAAGTAGAGTTGTTTTTGGAAAACTGATCAATGCATGTGTTAGACCTTATAGTTAAGGACCCGACATCCTTTGTTGTTCTTGTAGTGCTCCACTAGCCTTTTGAGTGAGCTAGGGCCAGAGAACACGTACTTTTCATATGATATTTTCCAGGCTTTTCGCCAATGCCATGTGCCCGCTGGGCTCTACGTACATTTATCATACAGTATTGGTGAAGAACCTCTCTCATCACTAATCACCATAGCTCAAAAAAGTGGGATTGACGTATACTCTATATATGTCGGCCGATTTTGCAAGCAAATGTAGGTGCTCAAAAAATGTGGTGGATCTCGTCACATTAGATTAGGATTCATCAAATTTATCATCTAACTTTTTAATCAAACACGTATTTTATGCTTAGGATTACTTTTCTGGTTGTATTAACTCAAATTGCATTAGATGATTATTTTAGCTATTATTTCATAAATTTGTCTTTATTTTATTAATAAAGAATTCCAGCCAATACAACCACTTCTTTATTTTATATTTTCCATATTGACTCTATATAATTTTTCCATAAATCACCAAAATCAATCAACACAACCGCTTCAGCTAAAACTTCACGAATTTCAGTAGAATCAGCCGATTCAGCCGATTTCAGCGCTACCAAATGAGCGCTATAATGTACACCATAATGTACATGTATCTATCATATTGTTTCTATGGTTCTATTTTAAACCTAAAAACGAATTAAACTAGGGAGGGAGTTATTGGTTAATAAATGATCGTCTCGTTTAGGATGTTTTTACTTGAATTGAAATTTTCTAATCTGATCGAGCCTGATTTCGTCTAGTCTAGTAGATGTATGATTCCCTTTTTTTTAAATGTTGAAATTTAGTCTAATCTAATTTGATCCGGTCTAATTTGAAAAGATTTGATCAAAGAGAAAGTATAGTTTGCCTCTTGTTATTTCTTACTCATTATTCATCCGGGCCCAGGGGCGGACCCAGGAAGTTTATCTTGGGAGGACGGTAACTTAAAAAAAAATATTTTTGGGAGGACGAAAATTATTTTTTGGTATATATATACACTAAAAAAATTGTTGGAGGGGCCCCTACCCTTGGGTCTCTATTACGGTCCGCCCCTGTCCGGGCCACTTTAGGAAGAGAAGTCGCTAAGAATAGAAGTTGAATTCTACAGCCATGAACCAAAGTTACCAAACAAGCCAATTTACATGGACTAATAAACTGGCACCAGGTATAATATTTAGCTCAAGTTGTAACGAAAGCCATGAATTCTTCATCATTTCCCAAAGCAAGTAGCGTTTGGGGAAGAAGGCAGACCTCAATGTCCACGCTCCCTTCTTCCACTCCCGGAAACAGGCTGAACTTCCCGTCAGCTTTATTGTCCATCCCACACCTCACCGCCACCGGCTTCCCCCACCCGAAATCCGTCCCGTAAACGTCATTTCTCGGCGAACTAGCGATTCCCAGAAAATTGGTACAGAACAGAGTCTCCTTCCGCGCCACCGCCGGAGATCTCACCCAGTTTTCGTAAAACTCCACCGCCTCTTCGTGTTTTTTCCCGGCGACCACCTGATGGATTTGCCAAGCAGCCCATCCCAATCCTCTCTCAAGCAAATCCCCTGCTTTCACCCTCACCATCTTGCTGTAAATCGCGTTTCCCCAATACCCTTCCGGAAGCGGCGGATCCATCCTCCATCTCGTCCCTATCGGGACGTATATGAAGACCTCTTCGGCGGCGTTGACCCGACGGGACCGGGTGATTGACCTCCACAGGTAGGCCACATATGACTGCAGGGAGGAGATTGTTGAAAAACCCATTTCGGAATTGGCTTCCAGTTTGAGCTTAGCGATGCTTTCTTGGCTGAAATGGAATACCCTTTCCTGGAAAGGCTGCGGTTTGAAAGAAAGGGATAGCTTTTTTTCTTTGTCGAGATCTAATCGGAGACGGAGTGGGCCGGTGGATTTCATGTTTTCCGGGAACCACGGGTGTAGAACGGGAGGTATGGATGGCTTGCGGAAACCTCGGGAGATTTCGGCCCAAGAATTGAAGAAATGCCAGAAGGAAGAAGCGTCGGCCACGCTGTGATTCATGGCGCATCCGATGAAGTACCCATCGGCGAGTTGGGTCACCTGCACGCCGAGCAAGGGGTTAGAGACGCCGTCGATGTTGGAGAGGCCGTTGAACGGGAAGAGAGAATGGACGATGCGTGGCACGATGGTGGGCTCGAGAATCTGAGCGAGAGTTACGCCGGCGGCGTTGGCCACGGCGAACTCTGCTCCTTGATTGTTGCAGTTGATGAAGACGGAGGTTGTGCCGTCGTCGTTCTTTGCGACGGAGAGACGGCCGGCGAGCGGCGGGAAAAAGTGGAGAGTGGAAGAGAGTGAGGCTCTCAGATGATCTATAAAGCTACTGCTGCTTTTGGGGCTAGGAAAGATGAGACCTTTTTGGATGTAGTCAAGGAGCATCGACTTTAGATCCCACGGAGTCAATTCAATTTGGTGAATTCTTGGGATGCCACCGTCTACTTCCTCCATGGCCGCCGCTCCGACTAAGCAACTTGATATCAACTCAGCCTTTTCCATCTCTGATCTCTGTTTGATTTGCTTTACAGCTTTGCCTGCTTCCTTATGAATCTATAGAAAGGGGAGTTGGTGGAAATTCTTCCTTTCAAGTTTCAAGTCAACAATGGCCGGCTGTATTTGACTCTGTTATGGGAAATTGGCCACAACACCGATTCCCTCCTTAGCCTATCATCAAAAAATTATCAAGAACCATATGTTTCTTTATTTAGACAGATTAATTAATGAACATAAGGGTTCTGTTTGGACCATGAAAAGAGTAGAATTTAGCTTCGTGTACACCATGTTACACATTGGCTTACACACCCAAAGTGTAATTGTCTCTCCAAAGACAATTACGCTTGAGTTTAAGTTTAATAAAGGAAAGCGTTTGTGATCCCGAATTGTCTCTGCACAAACAATTCATTTTTTGGACTCAATAACACTTCTCGTCACTAAAACCCAAGTGTAATCGTCTATGTAAATCACTGTGTAACCCGGTGTATACACGAAACAAAACTCAAAAGAGTCAAGGGAGAAGTGATGATAAACATATGAAACATTCAATACATTTACAACCATAAACCCAACCATGACATAGATTAAGCAAAAGATTGTTATAGACATATAGATAGCAAAAAGCAAAAACATCACCTCTCTAGGGTGGTAAAAAGCGTCTGTACTACACTGAGGGAGTGTTTGCAATTGCTTCAACTTTAAAAAAGTGATTTTTTAAAGTGATTTGGGGAAAAGTGATTAATAGTAAAAGTTGGTAGTGTTTGAGGAAAAAGTGATTCTGAAAAAGTAAAAGTTGGTAGTGTTTGGTAAAATAAGTACTTTTTGTGTAATAGAAAAAGTGAAAAGCAGTTTAAAGCACCCTTCCACCTGCTTCCAGCTTTTAGCTTTTAAGTGATTAATTTAAGCAGAAGCTGTCATTTGAAAACACTCTTTTAAACTTTTTTTAAGCAAAAAGCTGAAAAGTGCTTTTTAATCAACTGCAAACACTCCTTGAATTAGACACTACTTGCTAACAAAACAAACACAAACAACAGGCATAAACACTAGAAACAACAAACATTATAACTATTCCCAAATTGTTCAATCATCTTCACTATAGTCATCCTCAATATCCTTTGTCAAATACTCAATGGTCTTCGGAAAAAGGATCCTGTGAGAACCCCTCATCTCTGCCTCATATTGAGTAAACAACCTTTGAACCAATGGTGAATTGATCGTACGGATCGCCATGGCCGCCAAAAACTGTCGAACTAAATTGGCCTGTTGGGTAGAGTTGCTGGTCTTTATCTTACAAGCAAGGGCAGAGAGAGTTGGGAATCTAGACCGGTCAAGACAAGTTTGCTGATATGTTGGGAGTAGATACCTAGCGAATTGTGGATAATCACATTTGGAAAGTGCCCTCAAAGCATACGAGAGATTAGCAACTTCATATTGAACTTCAGGGTTTCGCAGCACATGGGATCGAGGCACAAGAAGTGTCTCATATATGAACATGAATGCATCCATTCTGTTATACTCAAGCATAGACGACACATAGGACAATACCCGAGACATAGTATCTTCACCATCAAAATGGGCAATGAGATTATTTATGATAGCTGTGCTCAGCTGAGGACTAGCTCCGAGACATGTCCTAACAAGTTGCGCCTCTTTAAGATCGAATGGAATATCGATCTCCTCTTAAGTGCCAGCTTTGCTCTTCAACTCTCTGATCCTAGTAGTCATGTACGGCAAGTAGGTTTCCTCAGTTCCATCTTTGAGCAGAATGCAGGAGCCTTGAACTAGGATGGTTTGCCACGGGACATCCTCAATGTCATCAAGCGCAACCTGAGTATCCTCTGCCTCAGAAGGTATTTTCACTTCAACGGGTGTAATACCGAACTCTGGGAAACACTCGAGGAGGAGGACTGGCTTGAGACTTGGAAGCATCACCATTAGCATTGAACCCACAAAAGAACACATATCCCTTTCATCATTGGTGAGCTTTGCCTTCTTCAATGCAAGTGAGAAAACGAGACCTCTGTCTCGAGCAATGTCATCAGGGACAAAAACAATACAATTTCTCTGTTCGCCTCCAACAACTATTCTTGGAATGAGGTGTGTGGTGGGCGGATCATAGCTTCTTCTAACTAAACTTCTTAAGGACCCCTTCTTCCGAGCAATGATTCTTTGTCTTCCAGCAATGTTACCTCCGCCTTCATTTGCACCTCCTTGCTGGTTGTTGACCCAGGCTCCTGCGTCTGGCATTGAATTCTGTCAATGTATTGTACCTACTACAAGAGAGTGAGCGGTATGTAGAGTTTTATGTGAATTGGAGTTTAAGAAAAGTCAACAGACAACTTTGAATACATTTAGCTCAATAAAGAATTTAAAACAGAGTTCACGAAGAGTCACCTGACCACTTTAAAGGATGCATAGATAGCAGTCCCAATGGAATGCATTAATTATGGTGAAACTGTTTTCGAATTATGCATGTTCTTAAGCAATTAAATTATGAACCTTTAACATTTTAGCATGTGACTGTTCAAATTATTAAGGAAAAATTCGATAAATTGGAAGCCATGCCCTACAAACCCATCGTAGTACCTCTTTTGCCTGAATAAGAGTCCATTTCTAACATTTTCTAAATAGGATTAAACATCAATTTTCTACACCTAATACACCTAATTTAATTAATTAATATAATTAGTTGCCCCCTAGTCCTCTTGGATTACCTGGTCAGTCTGTTAATAGCAGGTCAATCCGGTGGTGGTATCGACGGTAGAGTTTCAACGACTGGGAGCAGCAGAGACAGTTTGTCGGCAACAAAAATCTGGCATGTCAGCAGCAACCGAAGGTGGACTACAGCAGTACAGCAGTGTCAATGGCAAGGCTGTTACCCTGTAGGGGTTCTTGCCCTATTACAAAAAAGCTTCTATTTTGAGAATTTTAAACTACTCCTATTTTTACCTTTTGGTCATGTTATACTCCTATTATGGTAATTATCTCAATTCATTAACATAATTAATTGTCCTTTAGTATAATTCATTGCCTCCTTAATTCCCTCACATAACCAAGATAAGTTCATTGATGTCAACTGTTGATATTGAATTATGATGTTTAACTGTTGATATTCTCTGTTTTGTTTTATGAGAAACTTTTGCATAACTAAGATAAGTTGGTTGTAGCCTTCTTTATTCAATGATTTTCCTTGAGAGCAACTGATAGTCTGATACAGTCATACAATCATTTCAGGCTTTCAGCCAAGTAAACTGTTACCAAACAAACGATATATCATCACAAACAAATGCAGGTGACTATTATTTTCAAGTATTCAAACAACCTCACATTCCTTCTCTCCCGACATTTTTGAAGATATGAAGTTATCATTTTGAAACTAAGATATCACTTCATTGCCCCCTTAATTTGAACCATAAAAAAAAGCAGGCACTCATGGCGGGGTGTCATTCGATCAACCACGGTTCTTGAGCTGGCATCCACTGGCATAGTTCTCCTTCCTTGAACCAAATATCTGCTCAACAATAACAAGTAACAAAAATATGAAACGAATTTACAAAATCACTTAAGAGTTTAAGAGACAGAACATGCGACTAATGAGAACTGCTGGATCAAAAAAATAGAATTGAGGCACAAGAGTAGAAGCAAAGACAGTAGAGTGGCATTATGAGGTAAACCGTAAACAAACATACCTATTTCAAGTATACCATTCTCAGGGCTGTCACTTCCATGCACCACATTCCTGCACTCATAAAAAAATCTTGTGTTCAAACACCTAAACCTCTTCACCTAAAAATAAGTTTATTTTGAAAAATCGAAAATTAAAAAAAAAACAAAAGGACTGACCTTCCCGTTTGGACAGAGAGGTCTCCTCTGATAGTACCGGGTTGAGCATCAAGAGGATTAGTAGATCCGATTAACTTGCGCGCTGATGGAACAACACCAATTCCTTCCCAAGCCTATGATCAAAAGATGATCAAGAACCATATGTTTCTCTATTTAAACAGTTCAATAACATTCAAGGGTCCGTTTGGAACATGAAAAATGTTAGGGAAGAGTAAGGATAAAAATAAAGGGGATATTACAAGGGTTGAAAATTTGGAGTCTCGAACTCAATAAATCTGTTATAGATATTTGTTCAAACTCATGCTATATAGTACTGCATCTATTTATTCTATCCCATAAAGAATAAGGAATCTAAATAAAGATATAAAAAAAAAGTCAAAAAAAATATTTTGCTTTCCTTCTCATTTTCCAATCTAAAAGAAAATGTAAGGAAAAAATAACTTCACATGGCACTTTGTGTTCTTTAACTAGTATTTTCCAAAATCCAAACATGCCACAGGAGGACAGCTTATATTGTCATTCTCAATCAGTTCTTACAGTAAAATCAGAAAGCTAATTAAAATGGGGATACAACAAGAACTATACCATACACACAACAGGACCGGATGTAATGTACTTGATCAGCTTCGGAAAGAATGGCTTAGACTTCAGATCCTTGTAATGCTCCTGTTTCCATTCATAAAAAATCAATAAATTAAGCAAAATAGCATACCCCCACATAATAAAGATAATAATTCAGAACTATAAAAATAAATCAAAAACCAAAATATCCCATTTTATTGAAAAAGGAATCCTCTACAAACCTCAGCCAATTCATTGGGGCATTGGAAGAGCTTTAGCCCAATAAGTTTAAAACCTTTTCGCTCAAACCTGGATATTATTTCTCCAACCTTAAATTCAATGGACACAATTACTATTAGTATTTGGTAAAAGCAAAAGAGTAGGGAAACTTATTATCATTAATTACTCAAGTCGATAATAATACATATTGAAAAGTGAAAATTGGAAGAGTATATGTATGGAAGCTCCTTACAAGGCCCCTCTGGACACCATCTGGCTTAATCATAATGTAAGTTTGTTGCTTTTCTTCCTGCACAAAAAAATAAGAAACTTTAGGAGTGGAATTCCACTTCTGGGGCCTCTCTTAATTTGATCTAATTAATAAAATAACCACTTACCATGGAGGCAACCAAGTGAGGAAGAAATATTTGATCTTTTGTTTGGGCACGAGGGCGAAATGGGGAATACGAGAAAAGATGGTTGACAGGTTTTAGAGATGCTAGGTGGTTGGTGGCGGTGCGTGCAGATAGATTCCGGGACTTGGAGGGGGCATGGGATAAGGCATAGGCTTTCTTTGCTACTGTGTGAGAAGTAGAGAGTGAATTCACGCAAGGAGTGGCATATTTCACTGTCAGTAGAGCCTCCATTATCTCTTTTTGCCTTCCTGTTTTTCGGTCATTCAGTGTGTTTAAATTGAGGAGTCCCTCGCTGCGGATTTAGGAAAAAAAAAAATGTTTGGCTAATTCATTACAAAAATAACATCATCTTTTTAAGTTTTGTCTGTTTCACACAGGGCAGGTCCTGTATATATATAT